TAACATGGTCCCCATCTCGGAAAAAGCTCATCTCTGTCTCCACGAGGGATGCCATCCTCCAAATACTGCGTGCTTTTGTGTGTGTGAGCCTGCAGAGGCTCGAAAAGATGGTGGAATGGGCGTCAAACGCAGCATACAACTTTTTAAGGTTTAAACCTGAGACAGGAGAGGAGGTCACATCCCACAAAGCTAGGGCAAGGGACAGAAAGATAAGGGTTTTGAGTCTGTTTCTGGGGAAGACAAAGGCAGGCCACGTGGTCTGGTTTCCATTCTACACACATTCTTTATATAACCAGCAAATACACACGCCAACAAAATACAGCAGGTACTTTGAAATAGCTCTTAACGCATAAAAATGAACCCTTCCCGCTGAGAAGGAAACCCCACACACCCTTGTCCCATGGAACGTCTTACACCATTCTAGTCCTATGGCACAAAAGTCCAATTTAAAGTGTGAAGAAATACTTTTCAGTCCTCAGGTACCACCATTTCCCCAAACGGTCACACACACCCGGCTACTACTGAAAATCCTACATTTTCACTTTTCTTCAAGATGGCTTTGTCAATATCTTAGACCTGTGGTGGCGAGCCTATGGCATGCACGCCACAGCCAGCTGTGTGTCCTGAAAGCCCTCAAAGTTTCGCTCTCTCTGCCTTACACCATTATTGCTTCAACGAGTCCTTTTCCAGAGTAAAAGCAAAATAAGAAATGCATAATATATGTGAAAATATATCATAGCTCTTTTAAACAAATGTAATTATTTGGCTCAGTGCTGGCCCAGCTTTATCTGATAGCCACAGGGGCTAACTGCTCTACTGATTTGACCAGTTTACAAGGCAACCAACCCTCAGGAGCCCACAGCTTAAGAAACTGTGGGTAAAAATGCCTTCATCCTCTCTGACTTTTAAAATACATCCTTGATCTGCAGGGTCATGATAATATACTTCAAGTGCTTGTCTATACAATGCCAGTAAGCAGAAAGAAATAATACATATTCTATAATTCCTAGTGACTCCTAACACGTAGTATTAAAACTAGGACTCAGGTGAGCTGCACTCCTATTATTTTTACAGAAAACGTTAATCTGTACATTCATCCAGCAGCTCGCTTCTGCTTTTTCACTCCAGTCCCTTCTGCTAGTGGCGAGGAACCATGATAAAGGTGCCCCTAAGTCCTTCATATTTAGTTCTAGGGAACACGGGGCAATGGACCCCACAGACTTAGCTTCCCAGTTAGGTTTTACTTAGTTTCTAGTTCTGGAGTTTTTGTGATTCGTGTGTTCTATATCACTTTATCATTTTATGATTTTTGTATTCTCTCTTCTGGCTATGTAACAGGAGACAACAGAATTCAAAACCTGAGTAACTCCAGACTCAGAAACAAACCAGGTGCAGGAAATCTCCCCAGTGGATCCTTTGCAGGTGAGGAGGCAAGAATTGCCTCAGTGAACCTCCAAGTCACTAAGCTCCAGGGACCCTAATCACTAAGCCTCCTTCCAAAATACCAGTGACGACAAGTGAGGCACAGGTCAGCAACACTCTGATCCAGGGGTCGGGGGAGATGCTTTCTGAGACTGACAAGACCATGTAGCAAAAAATTTGCCCCAAACATCCATTCTGAGGCCACAGGCCTGCATAGGGATGCTTGGGGCCCAGGGAGAATTTCCACTCCTTAACACCATGGTCTGCAAGGCAACCAACTCAAGCCACAGGACAATGGGTTTACTTGTAAATAAGACAACCATATTTTCTGAACTTCAAACTGGGCCATAAGGCCTGAGGTGTACTAGCACACTTTTACAAAGAAGATACTGTGAGATTTTGGGCTGCTACATTAACAGAGAACTATGCCAGAAATAGAACTCAGAGACCAGTCCTAATCTTCATTTGCTTTTCAGAAGTACACATTCCCATTTACTAAAAAAACAGCTACAATGCCTTCAACGGCATTCACAGGAATGCCAGTTCCCACAGTAGAAAATAGGATCATCTGCTAACCTGCGGCAGTGGCTACAAGGTTCTGCAAAATCCTGTGCTCAGAGTCAAGTTTCTTTTCAGGCAGGAAAACCAAGAAGTACCTTTCATCCACATCATGCATCCCACGCAGAATTCAGAGTGACTTTTGGGTCAAGAAGATTGCGTGGAACAGGCCCTTTTGCTGCTGAATGACAACCTGCAGCCATTCCTAATTGCATCAATAAAAAAAGCATAAAGAGTGATGTTGCAGTCTGCATCCTGCACTTCAGCACATGAGCACAGGTTCACCTCAAAACGTAAATGACATCTCAGGTCTTATTCCAACCCGGTGAGACCTTCGGTTCTATGGCTCCACATACATCAAATCCCTGGAGATTAATTGAGAACACCACCATTTCTGATACCGTTGGGAAGTGGGAATGCTCCTGTTGTGATTCCACTGCAATGAAAAATAATTTTCAATGTATCAATGCAGGCTTTTTCAGAACTGGGAAAGAACACATCTTCACGCATTGTACTACCTTCAGGTGGACCTCACTCATAGATCAAGTTCTATTTCAATGCACGCCCAATGAAGAGGTTTCCACAAAGCTGCAATGATTCTGTGCCAAGCAAATTCAACAAGGAGTGCCCCAGGAGTCGTGAAATGCTACACAAGTCCAGGAATAAAAGGAGTTCTCTGGTACTCTGGTGACTGGTAAGATGGCAAGAAGTCAAAAGGTTTACTTACCAACGTTCGCCATAAGTATTCAACTGGAGAGCAAGGAGTTAGTTTCCCTTAATTGAATCAGTTCTCTTTAGTAGTCTTTGGATAAATAGCTGCAAAATACACCTCAGTCATTCAGCTTAGTAAATATTCTAAAAAGTTCAGACTCCTGATTCTGCCGTTCACCCAACGGTGAGATTTTAACAGTGCTGTTATTACTGAACTAAAAAAATAATAATAATCTAGGCTGGTATGACTTGCGGGATGCTCAGGAAATATCAAGCTAGTATAATACTTTCTTCAAGTCCACAGGAAAATTTTGGCACTAAAAGGGAGAAAGTAACAATGTAGCCCAATATCCAGAGACGGATGGAGAGAGAGGCAGAGACAGACACAGACAGAGACAGAAGATCAGAGAGAGAGGGGCTGGAGGAAGGGAGACAGGAAGACCACAGAAGGGAGGGAAAGGGAGAGAAGGGAAGGGAACAAAGACAAAGCAAAAAAGAAAAAAGAAGAGAAAAGTACCCTGAGACTCACAGAGATGACAGGGTTCTCCCGGGGCTGGTGAGCCAGTTCTTGATTCCCTGGATCAGCAGCCATTCTCCTGGAACCTACTAATGCCCGTTCACAGAAAGCAAAAGGATTATTTACTCCTCCTCTCGTTCTCATAACTATTAGGCCTATGTCCACACAGGCCTCTCTAGGAAAGAAACAGTCCGAGGAGCACAGCAGGACGGCCCTGAGATAGTGTGCTTCACGTTAACGCGTGGACTAGTGTCAGACAAGCTGCTCCCAAGTCACTTCCCAAGCCTGAGAACACTGACCTCCGCTTGGGCTCATTTCTCCTTTCTCTCACAACAACCATGTACGGCAGCCTCTAAGAAGATCTAGTTTCCTAACTCAGTTACACAGAGTAACTGGAAGCATTTTCCTCAGCATAAAATTTTCACCAATGGTTCTAAAGCACTTTGCCTAGCTTCGACTTGGAAAAAGGCTCTACATTCACAGCTGCACTGCACGTCCCGCTTTCACACCTTCTCTGTAAGAGAAGTGCTGCATGCAGAGAGTCCCTACTCAAGTCTTGAGGGCCTAGGAGCTTTCCCTGGGTGTAGAAGCAAGATCCAGACACCCTAAAATAATGCTTCCTGCAGGGAGGGGAGAAATGCACTTTTAGTGATAACCTCATAGTATTTAGTTTGAAAGCCCATGATTAGCACTTCTGATCTTCTTACCCTAAAAAGCCATATGAGATGAAGTCAAGCCGCAAGAACCCTAAATAACTCTAGTTTCTGAATTCCTGGGAACATCAATATAATAAGTATCCACAAGTAAATTTAGCTTTTCAGATTTAAAAAGCAAAAGTTATATAAACAAAGATATTCAGTCCATTTTTTCCTTCACAACATAGCCAAGCTATAGTCACTGCTATTTTAGCATGCGCAATAAACACTGCTAGCTAGGAAACCCTTATTTTAAGATACAGTCTAAGCTAGGTGAGCACAGCACAGGGAACATGGTCTTTTGCCTACAGACATCCCTGAGAGTCTATGCCCAAAAAAGGAACTGTGGTAATTAGTCAAGGACTGGCAAGTTGATCTCTGAAAATCAACCTCTTGTAAAGACAACATTAAAGAAATAATACATGTGTTTTACAGCCTCCTGACAGAATGCATGAAACCCATGATGCTGTTTTTTTTTTCCCCAAGAAAAATATAATTTAGACCAGCCATCAGACATTTCCATGGAACTCGAGCTGTCAGAGTTTTTACCCTCTTCTCATTGGTTTCCCACAAGTGTGTCATGTAACATGATTTAGGTGCCTTCCTTGTCACTAATGAGGAAATGTGAGCACAGAAACATTCAGTGACTCTGCCATAAGAATAGTGAGCAACCCAAACAGCCCTTTCCTCCACCCTCCTTGTGGTGCCCTAGAGAAGTGTTTCTCTACAGGCGAAGAGGAAAGGGCAGGAAGAAAGGTGTAGATTAACTTCGGGGATCGAACTTGGGACCTTGCGCTTGAGAGGCAGGCGGCAGAACCACTGAGCTAAGTCCCCAGCCCGAGTGTAGGTTAACCTATAACCCTAAAGCTCGATCCACTCGAATTTTAAATGTCATTAAAGAAGAGGAAAGATGGGCCAAATGATGGCCTGGCCTGAAAAGCCTGAAAGGCAATTCCAGGCCTTTGTTCATAGCTATCAGAGTGCAGTGTGTGTGGAGGTACCCAACCTGGCATTCTGGGGTTTTACCAAACTCAGGACAACCATTCTATAAAGAATCAAAGTTCTTTTAAAAGCAATTAAACAGTAAGGTCTCTTACTGTTTGATTAGTAGTGCAAGGGGACTCCCAGTTTTTCCTCACACTCTGAAACACCTTGCTGTGAATGAAATGCTCTTATGTGTGCCCTAAGTTCCCTTAATAAAGACGGCAATGACGGTGATGTGGAAACCAGGGGTTTTGAAACAACGCCTCCTTACATCCACGTTAGCAAAGAGAATGCTGAAATCAGAGGTGACTCTCCACATTCTGCTGTTCTGTAGCTGCGCACACACAAAAAAATAAACTGAATGATTCTGGCATTTGTGTTGCACATTTAATAGAAAAAGATCTTAAGCCATAATCACTGTAGCTGCCGGGCATCTTATTTCTTCAAGAATTCTTTCAGTGCATGCATTAACTTTGGTTAGGTTATTCTGGACTCAAAAGGGAGAAGAATATTTAAAATAGTATGGTTTCTGAAGCATCACTGTAACAGACCGATTTCAAGAGTCAGCTGCTAAGCTTTACTTCACAGTCCCTTTGTATATCAGTTAGATTTCAAAATAGGAGAGAATCGTGTGCTGTTACTTGTGTGGTCATCAGTTTCACACAAAGAAAAGGAGAGAGCAAAGGAAATAAGACTAAGAAATGATTCTTCCCAAGATTGTCATGGCACTGTTACATCAGTAAACATTCACAGTATGAAGTCTCTCGCTCTTCAGCATATAAATAGTGCAAAGGAAACAGTTCCAGTCCTGTCACCTGTTACATCTTCTCCAGTTTCATTTCTTCGTCACGTTAGGCATTGGTTGTTATTTCTTCCCAAAATTAATAATAAAATATAATCAATTTCTCAAGGGCCCTGCAGCCTTTTTAAAGTTAATATCCAGTCAAAAATAAACTTTAATTAAATCCAAGATAAAGTTGTGACCTCTATTCTGTTAAATAATTTACTTTCTCTTTTTTTGTACACAATAACTCTTACAATGTTTAAAAAACAACTACAGAATCCAAAGACATCAGAGATGCTATTAAAGCACTGGTAAGTGACTGCTCAAATTCTTTAGTTCTTACATAGTAAATACTTCAGAATGCCAACTTGTCCCGTCACTGCACAGTTACCAACAAGGTTGACAATTTACTTGCACATACACACACAGGCACGCACACTTACACTCACACACACTCTCTCTCTCTCTCTCTCTCTCCATGGAGCTATCTTTACTATTAACATCTCTTCCAGTTCATGTGCAAAATTCTTGCATTCTAATAAAAAATATAAAGATAGATTTGCTCCTATTTAAGCCTCCCTCTTCTCCAAGATGTTTCATTTATTTGACATGTGATACAAGTTTAGTAACAATTATGCCATGTATTACCATTAAATGGCATACTACCGTATGCATTGGACTCATTTGCATATTTCATTTTCATAACTGCACTGTCTATGCATAAATATATTTGGAGATGCTGGGGGGGCCTTGGCTGGTGGAGGGCGCCGTTCACACGTCGGTCTCCACAGCCTTCGCGTTGGAGCAGTTGTTTTTATCTGTCTCGCTGTCGTCCCCCCTTCCCTGACACTTCTCCTCCTTCGCACACAGCGACTCTTTCACTCCTTCCTCCATCTCTAGATACTCAGATTTGTCCCCCAGGGAGGAAGAAGTGGAGCTCCGAAATTTCTTGAGCAAATTGGAAGGGAGGTAGGGGCAGCTGACGGCATTCTGTGTCAGCTGCGTCTGCTCCTCATTCTCCGTCTCCCGGTGGTAGAAATAGTTGAAGTTGGAGACGATCACTGGTACGGGCAACGCGATGGTTAAGACCCCCGCAATGGCACACAGGGACCCCACGATCTTGCCCCCCACCGTGATGGGCTTCATGTCCCCGTAGCCCACGGTTGTCATGGTGACCACGGCCCACCAGAACGCATCGGGGATGCTTTGGAAATGGGTGGTGGGCTCGTCCGCCTCCGCAAAGTACACGGCGCTGGAGAAGAGGATGACCCCGATGAAGAGGAAGAAGATGAGGAGCCCCAGCTCGCGCATGCTGGCCCTCAGGGTGTGGCCCAGGATCTGCAGGCCCTTGGAGTGGCGGGAGAGCTTGAAGATGCGGAACACCCGGACCAAGCGGATGATCCTGAGGATGGCAAAGGACATGGCCTGCTGCTGCTGCCCGTTGCTGCCCTCCTGCTGCTGGGCCAGGTCCGTGCCCAGGGTGATGAAGTAAGGCAAGATGGAGACAATGTCAATGATGTTCATGATGTTTTTGAAGAAGAGGGCCTGGCTGGGACAGGCAAAGCAGCGGACCACGAATTCAAAGGAAAACCACACGATGCACACGGTCTCCACGACGAAGAATGGGTCGTTGAAGATCGTGTGCCCTGAGTCCTCCCCACGGGGCCCCGTGGTATCGTTCAACAACCCACCGTGCCCGCCACCGCCGGTACTCAGCGCCATGACCAGGTCCCTGTCGTCCCTGAACTCGGGCAAGGTCTCCAGGCAGAAGATGACGATGGAGATCAGGATGACCAGGACAGACACGATGGCGATGCCCCTGGCAGGACTGGAGCTCTCTGGGTACTCGAAGAGGAGCCAGATCTGCTTTTTGAACTCATTCTCGGGCAGGACCCTGTCCTCCTCCTCCCTCACAAACCCCTCATCCTCCCGGAACTTGAGCAGGGCCTCCTCGCCCAGCTGGTAGAACTTCACCTCCTCTGTGAAGATGTCGAAGGGGACGTTGACAGGCCTCTTCAGGCGCCCTCCCGACTGGTAATAGTACAAGATGGCATCGAAGCTGGGCCTGTTCCTGTCAAAGAAGTACTCGTTGCGCAGAGGGTCAAAGTACTGAGTCCTCTTCTCGGGGTCTCCCAGCAGGGTCTCTGGGAACTGGGCCAGGGTTTTCATCTGGGTCTCGAAGCGCAGGCCGGACACGTTGATCACCACGCGCTCGCAGCAGTCACTGTAGCGCACCGAGCTGTAGCCGCCGCCCCCGCCGCCGTCCTGGGGCAGCAGGTCGGTGTAGGAGCATTCGTCGCCGTGGTCCTCCTCGCTGTGGTAGAACCTGCCCTCCTCCTCGTCCTCCTCATCGTCCTCCTCCTCGTCCTCCTCGTCCTCCTCCTCGCTCAGCTCCCTCAGGATCTTCTCCTCAGAGCCGCTGGGCATCAGATCCGAGCAGTGAGAGAAGCCGCTCTGCCTGTGGGGGGCCTTCTTCTTCTTCTCAGGCCGCTGTTGCCTCCTCCGGCGACTGCCATGGCCACCCTGAGGGTCGTGGGCAGAGCAGGCCCCGCGGGCCTGATGGTGGTGATGGGAGCCTCCTCCTGAGCCCCCAGTGCCTTCCACGGCTGCGGTGGCTGCGGCCACGGCAGCAGCAGCGGCGGCC